CCCTGCCTTTGGTTGTTGTCAATATTGTTTAAAATCTTATTTGTTTTGATAGGCATGTAGTGATGTATTATTGTGGTTTTCATATGAGCTTCCCTGATGGCTAATGTCTCCTCCTCCTCCTCCTCCTCCTTTTGTATTTGGGATTGAATCTAGGGTCTCCCACATGCTAGGCAAATGCTCTACCAGTGAGGTATATCCTCAGTCCATTTAATTTTTTTTTTTTAAATTTTGGGACAGGGTCTCACTAAGTGGCCCATGCTGTCCTCGAACTTGCAATCCTCCTGCCTTAGTCTCTGGTGTAGCTGAGATTACAGGCATGAGCTGCTATATCTGTTTTTTTGTGCATCTTTCCTGTGATTATTGTCCATCTCTGTATCCTCTTCAGTAGAATGTCTCTTCATGACTTTTGCCCATTTTCTATTTTTTAATAACTTTATTTTATTTATTTATTCTTATGGGTGCTGAGGATTGAACTCAGGGCCTTGCACGTGCAAGACGAATGCTCTACTGCTGAGCCATAACCCCAGCCCCTCTAATTTTTTTTTAACTGTTGAGTTTTCAGAATTCTTTGTATATACCAAATACTGTTCCTTTGTTGGATTTGTATTCTGCAAATATTTTCTCCAAGTCAACTCATCTTTTCATCCTCTAAACAGAAACACATTTCCAAAACAGATTAGTCTGATTAAAATCTTGGCAGGACCAATTAGGAACTGAGAAAAATGATGGATGAAATAGAAGGTTAAATGATACTATTCCTGTTTTTATAAAAATTTGGCTGAATTCCCCAAACTGAGAAAGACTGTTGGTAGTGGCCATGTGTTTAAAATCAAGAATTACTTTTTACAAATAAAAGTTATTTTAAAAACCTTAAAACGTGAAACAGAACAGAACAAAAATATAGAGTTGCTGGGTTCTGGATTCATCTAGGCAGGCCTAAAAGGGGGCAAAACAATCACCAATGGAGAGTTTTTAAACTCTCTTTCTAAACTAATTTTATTGGTACATACATTATAATTATACATAACATCGGGATTCATTGTGATATATTCATATAAACGCATAACAATTTGGTCAATTTCATTCCCCAGAACCTCTCCTTCCCGCTTCTCCCATCTTCCTTGATCCCCATTCTCRAATTTTCTCCTCTGTTGGTCTCTGATGGAGATGACTTTAAGAGAGTTCTTAGATGCAATGAGGGATTCAACTTGTTTTCTCTCCAAATGAGAAAGGCTGAGACAGGCATCTTCCTACCAGGCTGGATGATAAAGCYGAGCTGTTGCTGGGATCCCCATGGCCTGGCACATGAGAGGATCAGGAAGGGTTTTAGGGAAGTCTGTGGCTCTGTGTTCAGGAGGATTATAGTAATCATGAAGAAAGAGACTTATCTCTTCCTCTTCCTCCTCCTCTCCTTCTCCTTCTTCCTCTCCTTTCCCTTTCCCTTCCTTTTCCTGTTCTTTTTCCTCCTCCTCCTCCTCCTCCTCCTCACTTTCTCCTCCTCCTCAGTCACTTCCTTCTTCTCAGTCACTTCCTCCTCTTCCTCAGTCACTTC